GCTTCATGCTGGGCGTGAGGCCTACTTAAAACAAACAAACAAACAAAAAGCAAAGTAAGGAAGCTGGGATTGTAGAATGAGACAGACTTGAGTTCAAATCTGAGCTTTAATATTTACTGGTTGTGAGACATTGAGCAAAATATCCAATTGAGCCTTGGTGTCCCAACTGGAAGGGGGGAATGATATGACCTCACTCGGAGGGTTATTGTGAGGATGTGTGAAATGGTCATTTCATCACATTTGCCTGTTTTATTGTTTTCACGGCACTGATCAGTTCTGAACTATTGGACTTAGTGTTCTTTGCTTCCTGTCTGTCTCCCCCACTCGATTGTCACTCCCTAATGAGAAGACTCTTCTGCCTGAGAGTAATGTCTGTTACACAACAGGAATCAAGAAATATTTGTTGAATGAATAAAAGGAGAAGGGCCATCTTTCCGTGGAATATTTTCAACACATGTTATTATAGCTGTCCAGGTCTCTGAGAGCGGGGAGTCAATTTTTCATACATTAATCCTGGTATTCAGATAGATCTCCATTCTATATACCTCCCAGGATTTGACATCTACTAGGGGCTTGGCAAATGCTTGTGGAGGGCGCCTGGGTGGCTCAGGCCGTGAAGTGTCTGCCTTGGGCTCAGGTCATAATCCCAGGGTCCTGAAATCAAGCCCCAGATTGCGCTCCCTGCTCAGAGGGAGTCTGCTTCTCCCTCTCCCTCTGCCCCTCCCCCCTGCTCATGCTTGCTCTCGGGCACGTTCTCTCTCTCAAATAAATAAATAAAATCTTTAAAAAAAATGCTTGTGGAATAAGTATCATAAAAATGAAATTAAAATCATGATAAGGGACATGAGATTGTTGTAACAGTGCTATGATATGAATTATTTATTTAGGAGGGAGGCAGTGCAGGATGAAGCCTGCTATGGGTTCAAATCTTGATTCTGCCAATTCCTAGGCAGGTGCCAGTCACTTAATTCTGAGCCTCAGTTCTTGTTAATGAATACTCTGAAGGGTATATGGTAGATAAATGAGTAGATGTATTCTGACACCTAGGTGCTCAATAGCTTTTATTTATTTATTTATTTTAAAAGATTTTATTTATTTATTTGAGAGAGAGAGAGACAGAGTGGCACACAGTGTGAACAGGGAGGAGAGGGAAAAGCAGGCTCCCTGATGAGCAGGGCTTGATCCCAGGACCCAGGGATCATGACCTAAACCGAAGGCAGACACTTAATTGACTGAGCCACTGAGGTGCCCCAATAGCTTTTATTTTTAAATTTTTTTTCTTTTTTAAAGATTTTATTTATTTATTTGACAGAGAGAGAGATACAACGAGAGAGGGAACACAAGCAGGGGGAAGTGGGAGAGGCAGAAGCAGGCTTCCTGCGGAGCAGGGAGCCCTATGTGGAGTTTGATGCGGGCTCGATCCCAGGACCCTGGGATCATGACCTGAGCTGAAGGCAGATGTTTAACGACTGAGCCACCCAGGCGCCCCTCTTTTTTTCAAAAGTAATACATGTTCTAGGAAGAAAACTGGGAAAACATTCCAAAGTACAAACCACAGATCCCCCAGTCAGCTGTAAATGCATTGCTGAGATTCACCCAAATGTTATATCAGGCATGATACCCTCCAGGTTTTTATATCTAGTCATACATGCATGTAATTTTAAGATGTAATCATACATAAACATAATTCCAAAATTTCCTTACTATTTTAGCCTGATTTTTTTTCCATTTAGCAATAGATCATGAACATTCACTTGCATTACTATTCTTCATAAACATTATTCTGAATGGCTTCATATTTCATCTTATGGATATACCATTATTATGGTTAACTATTTGCATATTGTTGGCCGTTTAGAAGGTTATAATTTTTCCTCTTATGAACAGTATTGACCTGTACATCCCTGTATATGCATCCTTGACTATGGGTCTGATTATTTCCTTTGAACAACTTCTTCAGAGTTGAATTGCTGGATCAAAGGGTTTGCACCTTAATGTTCTTCTGATTCATTTGCTTATTTATTCTTTTTAAGATTTTATTTATTTATTTATTTATTTGACAGAGAGAGACACAGCAAGAGAGGGAATACAAGCAGGGGGAGTGGGAGAGGGAGAAGCAGGCTTCCCGCTGAGCAGGGAGCCCCATGCGGGGCTCGATCCCAGGACCCTGGGATCATGACCCGAGCCGAAGGCAGATGCTTAACGACTGAGCCACCCAGGCGCCCCATGCTTATTTATTCTTTATGAAAACTATTTTTCAGAGCAGTTTTAGGTTCATAGCAAAATTGAGAGGATGGTACAGAGATTTTCCATATACTCCCTGCCTCCACACCTGCATAGCTTCCCTTACCTTCAAGTTTCCCCACCAGATGGTACATTTGTTGCAACTGAGGAACTTATACTGAACATCATCATCCCCAAAGTCCATAGCTTACATTATGGTTCACTCTTGGTGGTGTGGATTCTATGCATTTGGACAAATGAATAAGGACATGTATCCATCGTTATGGTACCAGAGTATTTTCACTGCCCTAAAAATCCTCCATGCTCTGCCTATTCATCACTCTCAGCATACCCCAAAACCCTGGCAAACCACTGCTCTTTTTACGGTCTCCATAGTTCTGCCTTTTCCAGAATGTCTCATAGTTGGAATCACACAGTATGTAGCCTTTTTTCTTTTTTAAATTTTATTTATTTACTTATCATAAAGATTTTATTTGACAGTGAGAGAGAGAGAGAGAGAGAGTGTGCAAGCTGGGGGAGTGGCAGGCAGAGAGGGAGAAGCAGACCTCCCCCTGAGCAGGGAGCCTGGACTGAAGCGGGACTCTGATCCCAGGACCCTGGGATCATGACCCGAGCTGAAGGTAGACGCTTAATCGACTGAGCCACCCAGGCGTCCCTTAATTAATTAATTTATTTTAGAGAGAGGGGAGGGGCAGAGAGTCTTAAGCAGAATCCACGCTGAGTGAAGAGCCCAATGGGGGGCTCAATCCCACAACAGAGCCCCAAGCAGGCTCCATCTCACGATCTGAGCTCAGTGGCTGAGCTGAAACCAAGAGTCCCACGCTTAACCGACTGTGCCACCCAGGTGCCCCATACGTAGCCTTTTCAAATCGGTTTCTTTCACTTAATAATATGCCTTGAAGTTTCCTCCATGTCTTTTCATGGCTTGATAGTCATTTCTTTTTAGCTCTGAATAATATTCCATTGCTTGGATGGACCTCAGTTTATCCATTCATGTACAAAAGGGCATCCTGGTTACTTCCAAGTTGTGGAAATTATGAATAAAGCTGCTATAAACATCTCTGTGCATGGTTTTGGTTTTTTTTTTTTTTCTTTTGGTGGACATACATACATTTTCAAGTCCTTTGATACCAATGAGTGCTTTTATTTTTTTTTTTTTAAGATTTTATTTGTTTATTTGACAGAGACACAGCGAGAGAGGGAACACAAGCCAGGGGAGTGGGAGAGGGAGAAGCAGGCTTCCTGCTGAGCAGGGAGCATGATGTGGGGCTCAAACCATGACCTTGGGATCATGACCTGAGCCGAAGGCAGACGCTTAACAACTGAGCCACCCAGGCGCCCCATTGAGTCCTTTTTTAATTATAAAAGCAATACAAATATAGCAATCTTCACCTCAACCATACAGACCGGTCCCACTCTGCATAGCAACTCGCATTAAAAATTTGGAATGTGTTCTCCTACACATTTTTCTCTACATACATAGTTCTTTCCTTTCTTGTTTTAATAAAAATGGGACGGCGTGCATATTTTTAAGGTGCACGTCAATCAGTGTTGACTATTGGTGGAATATAACAATAGTTTCAACCCCACTAGGGAGCACTTACTAAGTGTTAGATGCTGGGCACTAAGCATTGTGACCGGTGCTTTATTTTCATCAGGTTTTGAGTGCTTACTGAGTACTAGACATTTTGGTAAATATGAAACACCTACTGTGAGGCGCTACCCAGTGCTTATGAACAAATGTGCACTGTGCCAGATTTTTGCATATATCTCATTTAAATACGAAAGCAGGGAGTGAACCTCCATGTTCTGCCTAGGGTGGGGGTTCTGCCCCCCTGCAAGGGGTGCATACCTGAGTAGGTAGAGGAGGGGAGGCGGAGTCTTCTTCTCCCGGTGGACTGCAGACCCAGGGCGCCCCCGAACGTCTAGGGGTAGGAGAAGGAAAGGTCAGTCTGAGGACAAGACCGAGTGAAAGGCAGGGCAGAGGTCCAGCAGACCGATTAGCCCCGGGCCGCCCTGGGTGGGCGGGGCCAAGTGGCTGGGCGGAGCCTGTATTGTCCGCTCCGCGGGGCATGCCGGGAGCCCCGCCCCCAACATGGCGTCTCACTGACAGTTGGCTGCTGAGCGGCAGAGGCGGGTCCTGCTCCTCGGCGGCGGCGGTGGTGGCGGGGCCGGGGTCTCAGGGGCCGGGGGTGGGGGGATGGCGGCTCGGACCGCCTAGGGCGGAGCTGCACAGGCGAGGCTGCGAGCGGGGCGCTGCAGGCGGGCGCGGCGGCTGCTGCTATGGACTGGTGATCGCGGCGTCTCCTGCTCGCGTCTCCCCCGGGCCGGGCGGCTGCTCCTCACCGTCAACCCCTCAGCCGGGGCCATGGGCTCGTCTGCGGCCGCGGCAGCTGCGGCGGCGGCGGCCGCGGACTCGGCGCAGTGGCTCTCAGTGAAGGAGGAGACCATCTTCCTGCACGACGGGCTGATCCGGGTCACCGACCTGGCCGAGCTGCCCAGCGAGATCCTCGGGGCCCCGGAGGCCGCCGACACCGACTTGGAGGTGAGCGAGGCTGCTCCCCGGCGTCTGCCAGCAGATTAGCCCACCCGCCCCGCATCCCCGGGGTCGGGCCATCCCATTTCTGCCTCACCCCCGCCCCGAGACCCCCCCGAAGACTGCCCCGGCAGGTGTGTGGGCGCGGGGAGGACAGGTGGGGGGCCTCGGCTGCAGGTCCGCAGCCCGCCCGCCTCCCTGTCTCCTCGGGGCCTCAAGCCCGCCGGGTATTGCATTTGTGGTTTCCTTCTGAGCGTTCTGACACCCGGCATTTTATTAGACTATCACCCGGCACGGCCTTCACGCCCTGGAAGAGCCACCGTCGCCTCCCAGGCTCTGTCTCCCGTCTCCCATGGACCTCCTGGACTCACTTCCAGGGCACACCCAGGTTGCTTAGCTTTGGGGGCATTTTAATATTAACGCTGTATACCTCCCCCTTTCTTACTCCCAGTTCTATGTTGATTTTTCTTTCCCCCGGGGGAGGGTATTGGCAGCTGTCGATCCGTGATGGGCAATCCAGCAACTTCTCTGTGTCGTGCCTCGGATTGACACGGGCCTTTGTCAGGGAAGCGGGCAGTGTGGACAGCGAGGGTGATGCTACAGGGGCCCTCCGTGCGCTCTCCGCAAAGGGTCACGGGCGCTTTAGGCCTCAAGGCCTTTTTCGTGAGCTCGGGGGTCTCCGAGAAGCAGAAGCTCAGGAACTGTGGCAGGTGCAAAAGGAAATCTCCGTTTTTGTGTTGCTGCTGGGTTTGGGGGCAGAAGGAAACCAAATATGCTGGGTTGATGAGAACTTTCCACCGACTTCACTTGGTTTCGTGTTTGCCCAGAGGTGGGAATACTGGCGGTATCATTTCATCGAGGCCAGCCGATGCTGACGCTGCACCCCCTCCACTTCGTGGGGTGATATTTTGATGTGTATGTAGCACGGGGTGTCATGAAATTCTTGCTGTCGCAAGGAGGACTCTCTGGGGTAGGGCGCAGAGAGGATGGCCTGTCTTCTGGCTAAAAACGGAATGCGAAGAATCTTTCGTGTTTTGCGGTTTTGCATGCACTTGGGCTTTCAAAACAAGGAACGTTTATAGAAATGTATTAAAACCCATCACTGTGTGTTTCTGGAAACGGTAGTGATCAGATCGCGTTGGCCAAGATGTTTGGGTGTGCTTGAGATGTGAATGCGTTCCACTGTGTTTTGTGTCTGGATTTGAGGTTGAGGTTGCAGCATTCCCATTGTGAACTCTTAACTGACTTATTTTACAGTCTGGCCACCGAAAAGGGAAGATGCCAGTTGATAGGGGATTCCTAACATAGGATTATGGTTTTCTTGTGTCTCATTTGGGCCTATTCTAGAAAAAGCAAGTGTCTGAGTGTCTTACCAGCTTGAAAGCTCAAAGGGTATTATGCTATGATGGTGGAATCTTTTTATTTAATTGACTTTGTTGAATGTGAAATGTGGGAAGTGGATGCTCTTTGTTTCTTAGAGACTAAGTTCACAGACCCTAAAATTTTGTATGTATGTAATATATTTACTTTTAGGATTAAAAAGGTAGGAGTAGTTAAAAATACCTGAGCTCTTAGGTTGGCTTTCCTAAGATGTTTACTGCATAAATGTATTGAGTATTTGTCAGCTCTTTCCACAGAAGAATGATCTTAAAGAAAACCTCCCTGGCTTGGTAGATTTTTAAAAACTCTTGAAGAAAATGTATGTTCTGACCTTTCAGAAACCAGTATGTGTATGGGTAATAAATATGACTGTCAGTGGTGAAGAACTTTTTTCATTTTTTTCCATATGTTATATAGGCTATATTGTATCAGTAGAAATGGATAGCTAAGAATGTTTTGTGGCTGTTAGATTTATGTTTGCAAGGGTGTATTCACATTTAGTTATTTAATAATAATATTGATTAAGTATATCCTGTGTGTCAGACATCATCTTACTAAGTTCCTAAAAGGATCCGAGTAGCTAACTACTGTTACCTATTGTAACAACTATAAATATTGCACCCATTGTGCAGATGAGGCAAGCAAAATGCAGAGTTAAGTATGTGACTTGCTCAAGATCACACACAGAGAGCCTGGACATTAACCCAAGTCTATTGGTCCCTAACACGTCTCCTTCTGATCATAATATCCTCCTTGCATGTATGATACTCATATTTGTAATTATCTAAAATTTCGTAACTGACTAAAGATAGGGTAATAAACAGGTATTTTTATGTCCTTTCTAGTATTCTTTTTCATGTTTGAGGAAGATTAGAGGTTCATCAGCTTTTTAATTTATTTATTTGTGTTTATTTATTTATTTTTGCTTTTTCATTATATCTGCATTTTTCTTTGATTTTTAAAAATTTTACTATGTTATATTAGTCACCATACAGTACATCATTAGTTTTTGATGTGGTGATCCATGATTCATTGTTTTTGAATAACACCCAGTCATCAGCTTTTTTAAAAAACTAACTTTTGAGGGGTGCCTGGGTGGCTCAGTCGTTAAGCGTCTGCCTTCGGCTCAGGTCATGATCCTGGCGTCCCAGGATGGAGCCCCGCATCGGGCTCCCTGCTCAGCTGGGAGTCTGCTTCTCCCTCTCCCACTCCCCCTGCTCATGTTCTCTCTCTCTCTCTCTCTCTCTCCCTCTCTCTCAAATAAATAAATAAAATCTTTAAAATAAATAAATAAATAACTGTTGAAATGCTGCCACCCCTATGAGGTACATTCTTCTAAGCCTCTCCTTCCAGTGGACATCTGGCTAACCAATGGCCATTTTTTCATAGTGTTTTCTAGTTAGATAGAATCCTTCAGTTGACAGTTTTGGATTAGGACAAATTTGGATTAAGCTGACTAATTTATGATTGACAACCTTAATGCCTAAGTGTGCACTAACTGCAGTAGAGTCTCAGAATTTTAGAGCAAGAAGGGGCCTTGGAGATAATCACTTTCCTCATTTGAGAGAGAAGTTGTCTGAGATCAGGAGAGGTTATGACTCGGTAGTGAAGCTAGTTATGGCAGGACAGACGACTAGATCCTGGCTTTCCTGCCTTTGAATTCCAGTGTTCTTTTCACTTTGTAAGTGCTGCTCAAAGTTAAATGTCAATTTGAAAAAAGAACCCATCCTACGAAGTGGATCAACATTGACTTAGCATTTTAATTTAAGCACTAGCACAGCATTTGAATTAAAAATTTTCTTCCTAGTGAATTTTAAACAGAAGTGTTTTTTTTAAAGTTTATTTATTTATTTATTTTAGTAATCTCTACACCCAAGGTTGGGTTTGAACTCATGACCCTGAGGTCAAGAATCACATGCTCCTCTGACTGAGCAGCCAAGCCCTTCAGAATTTATTTATTTATTTATTTATTTATTTATTTATTTATTTAAAGATTTTATTTATTTGACAGAGAGAGAGAGAGAGACAGCGAGAGAGGGAACACAAGCAGGGGGAGTGGGAGAGGCAGAAGCAGGCTTCCAGCAGAGCAGGGAGCCTGGTGCAGGGCTTGATCCCAGGACTCTGGGATCATGACCTGAGCCGAAGGCAGACGCTTACCAACTGAGCCACCCAGGCGCCCCAAGAATTTATTTATTTTTTAAATCAATAAATAGTGTGTAATCAAATTTCTTCAACAAGTATTTGTGGAATTCAGAAGCGGGCAGGCCCCACTGTCCTGGGCATTGAGGACGCAGCAGAGGATACAATAAAATCTTTGTCTTAAAAAAAAAATTTATTTTAGTGGAAGGATATAGACAATAACAAATAATCAAATACGTATTAGGTATATATGTATATGTAATACCTCAAATGATAAGTGCTGGGGAGGCAAGTATAGCTGGGTAGGAGGAATGGGGTGTGATGGTGGGGAAGAGTTCCCTTTTATGTAGGATGGGCAGGAAAGGAGAGCACAGAATGGCACTTGAGCAGAGCCTGAAGGAGGTGAGAGGGTACCATATGGCTGCTGGGGAAAGTACATCCTAGACAGAGGACAGCAAGAGCCAAGTCCCTCAGAGGGAAGCATCCTTAGCATCCTTAGTTTGGAGCTCTGAGCCCAGTAAGCCAAGGGGAAGAGGATGATGATAGATGATGGGGTGTAGGGGATGTCCATCAAGTAAAGCTGGTAGATAAGGACTTTGAATGCATTAGAAATGCAGAATGAGGTTTTTTCTTGGTGTTTAAAATAGCTACCTGGGGGCGCCTGGGTGGCTCAGTTGTTAAGCGTCTGCCTTCAGCTCAGGTCATGATCCCAGGGTCCTGGGATCGAGCCCCGCATCGGGCTCTCTGCTCGGCCGGAAGCCTGCTTCTCCCTCTCCCACTCCCCCTGCTTGTGTTCTCTCTGTGAAATAAATAAATAAAGTCTTAAAAAAAAAAAAGAGCGTAAAATAGCTACCTGTATTTATTTTAATTTCATGTTGTTGGCAGAAAGTGAAAGTATGTAGGAAATTATTTTTTAAGTGTGAAATAAATATAAATTTAAGAGAAATTTAAAAAAACTTAAAAATGACAACTCAAATATTGCATTTTACATTACATTTCATAGAACATTAGTCTTTTTTTTTTTTAAGGGAATTTACAAGAAAAAATAGCTTATTTGTGGAAGTTCTAAAAGGTTTCTGCTTCCTATCTCATTTTTTTTTTTACAAACTCTAGTGGGGACAGGCCTTGCACATATGGATGTTGACAGAGAAGCTAATTGACTTGCCCAAATTGGCCAAGATATTTTGTTTCCTACAGTTTAGATTAATTTTGAACTAAGACATTTCAGTTAATGTTTCTTATTTTCCATTGTGTTTTTTTTTATAAGAACCCACCCCATCCCCACACGCTCACACCAATGCAAAAGACTTGAACATGAAAACAACAACAACAAAAAGACTTGAACATGAATGTTCATGACAGCTTTATTTGTGCTTGCCAAAAACTGGAAACAATCTAAAGGTCCATCAACAGGTGAATGGATAAACAAGTATGATTTATGCTGAGTGGAAGAAACTAGACAAACAGGAATACATATTGTAAGATTTCACTTATATGAAATTCCAGAAAATGCAAACTAATTGATAGTGACAGGAAGCAGATCAGTGGTTGCCTGGGGATGAAGGTTGACTGGAAGGGATGGGAAAAGTACTTGAGGAAACTTTTTGGGTGATGGCTTATGTTCCCTGTTTTGACTGTGGTGATGGTTTCATAGTTGTATATATACGTATGTCAAACCTCATCAAATTGTACATTTTAAATATGTGCAGTTTATTGTATCCCTGTTCTATCTCATTAAAACAAATGAACAAACCCCTTGCAAGCCCAGAATGCTTTACTGATACTGTTTATGAAATGAAAAAAGGCTCAGGATGGTTTTTTTGTTGTTGTTTATTATTTGTTGTTTTGCTATGTAAGGGAAGGAGTTGATCAACTGGAATAAGTTAAGGTTTTGAATACTTAGGACACATTCAGATGAAACCTTTGAGATGATAATTTAGATTTATAAATGTTAATCTATTCTCCTAGGAGGATACCACCAGCCAGTTTATCCTTTGGTCAGATTCCTTAGGAAGCGGTTTATATACTTTTATAGAATTCCAAATTCTGGGGCGCCTGGGTGGCTCAGTTGTTAAGTGTCTGCCTTCGGCTCGGGTCTCATCCCAGGGTCCTGGGATCGAGCCCCACATTGAGCCCCACATCGAGCCCCACATCGGGCTCCCTGCTCCACGGGAAGCCTGCTTCTCCCCTC